GGAACTCTTACTTTCCACTGTATTACTAGCACGATGTCCAATGCCTGTCACTGATTTCAGGACACATGGGGCAAAGAAAAATCATAAGTGAATTTAATCAAATAATATTTGATGACATTGTAGAACTAAACTTACTGTATATGCGTCAGTTCTCCATTATAAAACCGTTTCACTAAAATGACACTGGTTATTCTAGTATTGAATAAAACAAACATCTATGCCTGGACATCTTGCAAATAAAAGTTGTTTTGAATGGTTTTGTGAACCATGTGTAATTGAAATTTCAATTACCGTATTAGTGCAAATAAAGTAGACCAATCACTAAGACACATTGGGTAAAGCAATACATGATCTAAAGTGTATTACGTATCTGTATTACGTAGCTTTGTTCCGATGGTACCAAGTTCCTGATCCTGATGATGAACATGAAGGAAATCAGCACCAGTCAGCGATGCTAGGAATGCCGGGTAAACGGATTGGCCATGGAGACTGTATATTTATATTAGTTGCAAATTGGCCGGAAAGTAATCAAAAAGAAGGCGAAAAGAAACAGACTGTGTATGCCATGGTAAGTGTGCACCACATGTGATGGGACAGTATTTGAGATTCCCCGTAAAATTCATTTTACGTTTTTATCTGTTTCGTTTAAGAGCATGTTTGTTCTATTTTTAACAATTTGAATCAGCTTTAGACATCTTTGGTTGGGTATTAGTACCATAGATGTGACGTTGTTCATACGTTTTTCTTGTTGTTGTTTTTTGTAGAAACTCGACTATAAAAAGGAAAATGCTACACATGGTCTACCACCATGGCCCGACCTCAGCCCACTCAAAGAAAAAATTGACGCAGCAAGATTCAACTTTGTGTATATTGAAAGTAGTGGTCAATTTCTGATCAGAGACTATGTTGCATACAGACAGGAGGATACAATGCATCGATATATCAGTGCTAATTATGAGGGCACAATTACGAGGCGAGAGAGGCCCGCAGAACAAGAAGATCCTTTCAATGATCCACTCATGTGTTTTCACATCACGTTACAAGGGCATGATAAGCCATATAGAGACACAGCTAAACAACACGTCAAAATTAAGTTTCAGAAAATGTTTATGTGTGTTCGAGGTGACTATCTTGCTAAGCCAGACACTTAACATGCACCATCCCGTGGTCGATTCGACAGGCAGACACACTAACAATGACGTGCCATACATGTAGTCATCTGATAAGTGGACACACGATGATATTTACAAATTGAGAAGTGGACATACGTGATTCAAGTGTCGATATTTTTAACTTGAATTTAATCATTTTATTTATCTAGTATGTTATAATCTTTTTCAAAATAATATTAAAAAGTCAATAATTATATTTGTTGTATTTTCGTTTTTGTACTATAACAGATATTTAGAAACATGTGACATAACTTGGACCAACGATGACATGAGAGTAAGGTCACACAATGATGTGGCTTTAAAATGCTATGGGGTTGCTGCGGTGGCCAACTGTCGATAAATATCTGTGAATTAGTCTGCATTGCTTTAAAGTACTAGATTACTATGAACAAGTATTAAATCACTAATTACAATATACATGTATTCATTCATCATCATATTAATGCACGTGCTTTCGCTTATGAAATATTAATACTGCATAGTGTAGTGTAGTGTAGTGTAGTGTAGTGAATGAAATAAACACATTGCCATATGATGGTGAACCAATAAAGAAGGAAAAACTAAACATAGTTATCGGAGGATGCAATTACACGCAAATGGAATACAATTCTATTGGTCCCGGTAAATCATTGTCATCGAGCGTTTATTACAAGTTGTTGTAAATGGTATATCGTGTTACTCTCGTGAGGCCTGATATAAAAATTGGTCGTTGAAAAGATGCTCACAAACGCATTTTCATCTTAGTCGTGTGATGGCGCCCTTAAGCAGTACCAAATGAAGAGTTCTATGCGTCAGCCAGCGGCCAATTATTGACTTGAACAATAAATTATTTTACAATGTAAATTGTTTCAACACAAAATACTACAGCATAGTTTATTGTAGTGAATAAGAAAAAATGGAGCCTAGTCCAACCACGATTTATAAATCATATCAAGAACAGAATAAGTAAATTACACAGAAAAGTACACAAGTGAATATGCAGTATGTCTAAAGTCTAGCGTCTCACTACGCATTTTTAACGAATATAACAACAATTTGGCTATTACAAACACATTGTTTCTCATTTATAAAAACAAGTTTCAGGTCAGTGGATAGGTCTAGAAAATTAGAATTTAGACGTTGTGCCGCATATTTAGGGCAGTGAAATAAAAAAAATACATTTCCTTTCATGCATTTCCTGCTTGAAAGATATTCCTGTTTCAATTGCAAGCGTAATTATACCTACAGGAAACTGTGTTATTTCAGAATGCCTACAGAGAGGCTTACTGGCTGGCATATGGTTCACAATCTTCATTCTTGTTCTGGTATCTAGATTATTTTGTGCCAGAACCAAATTCATCGGAAAAAGTGCATTGAATGAGTATACCATATCTAAATCATTAAATAGGCGATTGATATCTTGTGACCAACCACGACGATTTGAATATTCAAATACAAGTATCTTCCGTGTTAATCATTCCTCGGGCATTAATACAAACGGTTCCACGGTTCGTTTGGTAGTAGGATTAACGCATCCACATCACTGTTCATGTACCATGGGTTAGCGCAAATATATGCACGCCCAGAAAAAAAACGGATTTGGGGAAAACCCTATCTGAACCATATTAAATAGAGGGAACGCGTAAATGAGGTAAAAATTAGTGATTATTTTAGATATTGTAATAAAACTAGACAGTACACGAGAAATGTAGGAATATTAGTTGACATTTACTCTACATTTTGAGCAATGAAAACCTTGTACAATGATGTGAAACATGTGAAGGGGTTTTAGATAAAATATTGGTAGCATGAATTAAAAGAGGCAAATGAGGCATAATCATATGAATAATATTGTTTCGTTGTACATAACAATTTGATAATATTTTTTGAATTTTTGTGATGGATAACACACTTGTATATGATGTACTTGTTTTAATATTTAACGTGGTCTTTTGAGGAAAAATTACAATTATTTAGCTTCACTTACAAGTGTTGATAGGACCACTCAAATGTAGTTTATAAAACACCTAAATTATATCAGTGCGATGAAATTTTATACATGTATATACAGCTTATAAGTATTTGTATGCAATAGTACAATTGCCGTAAATATTATTGTTTTGGTGTTTGATTTACGAAGCAGTGTCAGTTACGTTATCATCACCGGCTTTACACGTAGTTCTATCTGTGGTAGACCTACAACATAGTGATGTCATCTTGCTGCAGCACCTCCCCCAGGTTGTCAAATTCTTTGCTATCACCACTGGTCGTCGTCCGATCGCTGTACACAGATTCCGTATCGTCAGTGGTTTGACTGATCGTAGAAGTCATCTGGCTTGTAAGCTCACTTGTAAACGTAGTGTTGTCCAAGCACTCACTCTCCGTCTGTTGAATCTTTTCATGACTGGGGGCGTTTTTCATCTTGAATATTTTTAAGGTGTTAGCGTCTAATACAATTAGCTTCTGTGGATTATCCTGTGTAATACAGATACCGCGTGGATCGATTAATCCGTCTGACGTAGTCACAACACAGTAGAGAAACTTGCCATCAGAACAAAATACTTGGATCCGACGATTGTTACTGTCGCATACATATATGTTTCCTTCACCATCAACGGCAATGCCAGTTACCCAACTAAATTGGCCGTCCCTGTCGCCATAACAACCGAATGCGAACTGGTACGAAAACGTAGCATCAAAGACAAGAACGCGATCGTTTCCACTGTCTGCGAGGATCACATCTTTGTTGCTATTTATTGCAACGGATGAAGGAAACTCAAATTCTCCTCGTTCGAGCTCTTTACCAATTAGTGTTCGAATATGTTGTCCGTCCAAAGTTACAGTATGAATACAATGTTTACCCAGAGTCCCCCTGTCGATCACGTGCACTTGACCATCCGGACATACTACCAACCCTTCGGGATATTTAATCTTCTCATTACTATGGCAACTAATTATATTGCCTTCGATATCAGTGATGACGATTTGGCTGTTAGGCGTGTCTGAAATAACGAGTTTACCATCCTTTGAAAAAGATACACCACACGGGCTGAAGTGGGAACTAAACTGTTTAAATCTTATTTCCTTTTTTAAAGTTAATTTACTGTCGTAAATCACTACACGGTGGCCTTCAGGGTCGGTTACAACGATGTCTCCGTCTGAATTCACTGCAATGTTTGCGAGTTCGCTGTCAGGAGTCACACAGCCTCTGTACTCCTTCTCTAATTCTACGTATGAGCAGTTATTACCGAATTGACTAGCGATCTCATCGACACCATTCATACAGGTAGTAGGTTGCTGAGATCTCAGAATATTCACTGGCACCGAGCTAGACAACACGGTTCCAATAAAACCACGGGAGAAATTAGTGTTAGGAACGAACTGAAGGTGGCTGTTTTCTTCTGGTTCATAATTGTTTTCTATTGAAATCAATTGCACTAATCTATCTTCCATTTTTTGTTTAGCCAATAATATCTCGACTTCAGTGCCATGTTTTACCATGTTATCACAATATACACAGGCTGTATCTATTTGCCTAATCACTGAGGAGAGTTCATTCTCTTGCATCTTCAGCACACTCTCCTTTGCCAGACATTTTCGCCTAACATCCCCGCAAAGCCTGTTAGCCTCTTTTTTAACTTTTTCTACAATGTTTGCTGCATGTGTTTCGATCTCTTTCTTTGCAGCTTCTTCATTTTGATGCAGTTCGCTGCTAAGCTCTGTTACTGCTACGTGTCCAATTCTTAACATCGACAGTTTTAATTTGACCTTCGCCATAAGTCGTCGTAGACCGCCAATGTGCTGTACTGTAGCGTCTTTGAGATACATATGATTGTGGCCCGGAACTCGATGTTCAAACAATGTGCATCTATAGCATATCGGTAATTGACATGTCTGACAATATAACTCAATTTCACTGTTATGTTTAAGACACATGGGTCGGTCAGGCCGGATAGCACCATTATCGTTGATGCAAAATTGTTCAATTGTTACGATGTGATGGTTACGAGTGTAGCTGAGCTTGGCATGGGATTTCACACAATCATTACACAGGAACTGAGCACAGTTCACACAGCGTTTACACGCTGTTTTATCACAGCAGCTACATATTAGCTCACCTTCTCCAATAGAAGCTTTCTCGGCATCGATGACGTCACGCAAATTGTTAATAAATGTGTTATCCGGCAAGTCTTGAAGTCCCTTTGTCGGCAACGCCCATGGTAGTCTACAAACAGGACACTGGTAGCTTGTCGCTTCACGAGAATCTCCTAACCACTGTGAGATACACGCCTTACAGAAGGAGTGCAAACATGGTAACTGCTTTGGTTGATTCAAACGACCATCGCAAATCTTGCAGGTCAAGAAATCACTGTCAATCTGTTCAGCTAAAGTTTTAGACGCCATCGCACTAGATCTACACCGCACCTTATATCTACGTGACACATTCCGATGCAAATTACTAACTAGCGTAGTCGATTAATCGATATGTACCCCATATATTTAAGGCTTATCAAGATGACCTCCTCAAGATTTCATCAGATTTCAATAGACTCACACTCATGTGGTACTCTGACGCCGTATCCCAAATACTGACATACATGCACACAATTCTAGAGAAGCATACTGACAATTAATACTATGAAATTAAATTATTTACGCTGTAAATTTACGTTTATTTAGATAGAGTAATATAAATTAATGCATCGTCGTTTACCACGCCTTCTTGTGTCGTCTGTAACAAAATAGTTCGTCATGTATAGGGTTGTTAAAGTATACTTATTTTTATTTCTGTCGGTAACCTGGCACATATCCAGACTCAGGTTGAGTGACACGTCGTATTGCGCATGAGCACACTGACTAATGGGTGACCAACTCGTAGGCTCAGCTCAAGCACATCACAGTTTTGTGACGTCACTGGGCTAGCATTGTACCCAGAATTTATTCATTTTGCAATACAATATAAAGACTTAAAAAGGGTTGGTTATCACCGGCCTAATTTCCTAGAGAAAGATGGTAGCATTTTAGTTGATAGTTGCTCTACTATAACGCTTTTACCATGGATTCCTATGGTAGAGATATTAAGCACACATTTCAAATTATAGTCTGGTCACATAGACTGAACAAATTATATATTGTTAATGATGGGGTACTTTTTGCTGTCCTAAATTGTCAAAAATGTATTTTTTCAACATTGTGTTCTATGGAATTGTTCTAAAAATAGCGTTTTTTTAAAAAAAAAAATATTAGTACAAGTTTCTCAAAAAACGTCACTGTAACACACACACACACAAAATGCTATTACATAGTGCCAATTTACACGAGTGAGTATATTTTTCAAAATAAAGCAATGAACAATGTCAGGCGATTTGTGACCAATTTTCTCAAAAATATATGTAGGCTGCAACCTTAATGGAATATCATCCTACAAAACTCGTTAACGTATCTGTCAATGCACTGGTATTGTCGTCTGACATTACTCCCCTCCACATATGTACCCACGCACGCACCCTCCCCCCACTGAAATAATAGTGTTCAATGCAAAGTGTTGCGTGACGTTATGACATTATATAATTAAACACCAGTTTTAAGCAATCATTTGGTACCATATACTATACCACTTTTAGCCATGATACCTACCATTAAACAACTACTTTTATTTCTGTAAACCAGTTGTAATCTTTGTAATTGTAACCCGGACGCAATGGTATTACTGTCGTCTCTACAGATAACTGTAAATAATTATTACTAGTACGTCCAAGGTTAAAGTTCGTCAGTTACAGTTCTGGGTTGTGGTTCTAGTGAACGTGCGAGGCTTGAATTCACCCACAAATCACCTACGTAGTTCATTCACTAGGATGACCATGCATTCACACAACTAGTCTATCTGCAAATCGTTAGTTAGAATCTAGGGTATTGGTGCTTAAAAGGGTAATATATTAAAATAGTGTGGGGAACGATGTGCCCTTCACTTGTCATGTGAAAACATTCTAGTTCTGAAAAGTAGTACTTTCCTGGTAAATGGGTACGATTTGGAGCTAAGAAAAAGTACTTACTTAGTAAACGGGCATTGTGCGGAACAAAGAAACTAGTAAACGTGTACTGTTTGGAACTAAGAAAGAGTACTTTCCCAGTAAACGGGTATTGCGGAGAACAAAGAAACTGGTAAACGTGTACTGTTTGGAGCTAAGAAAAAGTACTTTCCCAGTAAACGGGTATTGCGGAGAACAAAG